CGAAATTTTTTCCTCGTTTGATGACCGAACAACAGAAAGAAAAGCGTGTGGACGTTTGTCGGCAACTTCTGAAAAATCCAATGACGATGAAACATTCAATCAAAGGATCATAATGGGAGGCAAAAGCTGGGTTTGCGGCAACGACATTGAGATAAAAGTTCAATCGTCAGAATGGATCTCCACACCGCAAGAAAGCACGTCCGTTTTGATCCAATATCAAAGTGTAACACTTGTTTATTTTTAAAGTATTGTCATAATCAATATATATTTTATTTTGTAATGAAAACTGTCGTGGTTGCATTGAATCAAACTTCAGCTGTTCACACGAAATACGCCAGCCAAGTGTTTACTTGCCCTTGAGATAATGTAATTTATGAGCATATAATGTAGTCCGAAATGCCGAAACTAAGAGAGGGTGGCAGTGGTGTCTGGCCAGCAGCGCCCGAATAAGGTTGATTTTTATATGTATGTGCTAGCTTGAATACATTTGTTGCCATACTCGTTTATGTTTATGAAAATGGCTGTGGTTCCTTCGAAGTGTACCTTTTAAGTTCTACAGGAACCGATATTGTATGAAATTAATAACAAATTAAAAAAATAAAGTTCGGTTATTTTCTGAACAGACCTTATATAATTCTAAAAATCAATGTAGTTATGCAACTACAAACTTGACAACATATAAAAATGATCTGCAATGGAAGGATAAAATAGTATTTGATAAAATTTTAAGAACGAGATAGCTTTTTCATTTTAATAGGGGATATTGTTGAGAAGTAACTATAGCTATATAGGTAGGCATTTTCGATGGCCTTTAGCTACGAGCAGAGACAAAAACGAACATTAAACAAATCGTCACTTTTTCTATGGTATGCACGGTGCATATCAAACAGAAACAATGTTTTCGTTTGAGTCACGTTTACCCACAACAATGAATTTAAGGTAATTCTCGATATCGATAAATTAAATTGATGACAATGACCTTCTGAAATTTTAAATACCTTTGTCGTATTCGACGCACAGATAAGCCTGTTTTGATTCATGCTGCCAATACCAATAATCATAATTGTTTGTGTTATTTAAGTTTTCCAGAAAATTGTTAATTCTTTACATTTCAAGAACGTAATTTCTTTTTATCATCCCTATATACTTCGCGAATAGCATATTGTGGACTTATTAATTTAAAAACATTCATCCACTATACTATGCATGATTTGTTCTAAGAAACTATTAACAAGTATTTGTTTTTCTAAGTGTTATAATAAAATCTCAAACGAGGAAAACGTAGGTGAAGCATGTAATCTACCTATTAATTATTATATAATACCGGTGTGTGTTTGTGTATGTGTAGGTATATATAAAAAGTGACATTTAATGAACTATTTGTAATTCGTAATTACAGTAAATGAGATAATCATAGGCATAATCTCGTTCGTTAGAAAAATTATCCTCAGGTTTGTGAAATAATTTATTCAAATTGCAGTCGTCTCAGGTCTGATTAATGCAAATTGAAAATTATGGATCTAAATGTGATTGATTGGGGTTTGTTGTTTGTTGGACTCGAACAACAAATACATGCAAAAATATTAGCGCAGATGTAGTTTGCTGATTGATAATATGCCGCTTCCTCTCCCGCATAAATCTTCAAAGCGAATTAAAATGAGATATAAAAATTTTATTGTTACTTGTTTGTGTTCTAAAAATGTATTGCTCTCTTTTTTGATATTTTCAGTTTACAGTTTACTTTTTCTGAATTAAAACTGGCTGTTCTAAAAAGTCTAAACTATAACTGTCATTTTCTGAAATTCAAAATACAGTTTCTTTAATAAAATAAACCAATCAGAAACACAATAATTGAAGTACATCTGAAAAAAGTGCAGTTTTTAGCTACTATTCGACATCTTCCTATCTTTTTTTGAATAACCTCAAACTTTACCTTTTTAATCTGAGAGGTCTTCCCTCGATTTTTGCTCTGCAAAGTTTGTCACTTGATGCACCTTTCAAAATACGTTTGCTGTTGTTTTGTTTTCATCTGGTCATTTCTCATATGCTTCATGAGGCAGTGATTCTTGCAACTGTTGTTATTCGATTTCTGCCCAATATTACTTGTTCACCTTCGTCTTCAGAGTATTGCGCAATTTTTATTGAACTTTTAAATAAAGTTTCAATGAAATTTTCGCCCACTGCGACAACTGTACTGCATTCTCTCCCATTTGGATGTCATAATTGTCTTTGCAGTTTGCTGTTTATCAGAATTTATTAAGACACACACACATGATAGTTTAATATCTATACTTTTTTTCTTAAAACTACACGATATTGCATTCGCTGCTGTTTCCAGTTGTACACAGATGCAATAAAGACAAATGAAATTTAAAAATGAGATGTTCTAGTTTCAAATTAGATTGCTTTTCCACAACGATATTTTTCGTTGTTCTTACAAAATACCCGTCCTATTTTACTCTTTTAAATGCTTTCTTGAAGAAAAGTCAATATTTCATATTAGGGATTTTTTGAGAAATAATATATTTACGCCACTGGATTCAGGACCCCCAAAACTGGCCAATACCGATATTTTCTAAATTTTTTTTTGAATAATAACGATTTTGTAGCTAAATCAAACTTTCACAAGTCCCTACTTTTTTTTTCATTAATTTATTGTTAATATCAAGTTGTCCATAGAGCAAAAACAAAAAATGAGGTAGTTAGCTAATTGTCAAAAGTGACAAATTCGTGTGTAGTAAAGTTTATCTAAATCTTAATATCCCTAGAAGAAAGGTGCCTGGCAAAAAATAAAGTAAAAGCTTTTAAACCAAAATTTGTCCATACTTTGGAATTGGGAGCTGAAGAAAGACGTTTGGAGTTTTATTATTGGCTAGAGCTAGAGAGAGAATATTTAAATAATGCTGAACTTTTAAGTGAAATTTTATTTAGTGATGAGGCCACATTTACTACAAATTGGGTAATTTCTTTCCAAAATTGTCGTCATTGGTCAGCTGAGAATCCAGAATTCATTATAAACGCAAAAAAGGCAGTATTACAAAAAGTAATTACGAATGTACGTACAAGAATTGAGAAGTGCATCGAAGTAAATGATGAATTCATAGAAGTGACAGGAACATAATTATTTAACTTTTGTTGGTTTCAGTTTCATTATTTTATTTTTAAATTTGTTAACTAACATTATTAATAACTAGTGTTTAATTAATTTAATTTTGATTGTGTTTTGTTTCATGGACAACTTGATATCAATAAATCAATGAAAAAAAAGTTATGACTTGTGAATTTTTGATTTGGCTACAAAATCGTTATTATTTAAAATTTTTTGATAAACATTGGTATTGCCCCATTTTGGGGATCCTGAATTCAATGGCGTAAATATACTTTTTCTCAAAAAATCCCTAATATGAAATATTAGCATTTTACTCCTACAAACGGACGTAGTACGCTTTGGATTTTGTGGGATCATGCTCATTTTCCTTCACAAAGCACATTTCATCAATCTCCACGTCTTAAAAAAAATAAATATTATACTGGGTGGCTTAAAAACAAACGGATCGCACTGTATGTAATTTTCTAACTACTTTATGAGGGCTTTATGATTACATTGCTCATAGTTTCACTTGCTCACCTTAGTTTTCTACATATTGCACAATTTTATTAAAATTTTCTGCCCACATTTACAACTTTTCCGCCTTCTCTTCTCTTAAACTACCATCGTTGTATGTAGTTGATCCTTAAGCTCGATCCAGATTTTTAATTGTTACATTTATTTCTTGTCAACCTCTATCATAACCGCCTATTTCACAATTATGAGTGTTAACATAGATTTCTGCATATTTCCAAGATTGAATCCACGCGCTGCAAAACCGCAAAAGGCGATGATGTCTCCTTGTTTCGAAACAAACCACATCGACTTTACGATATTTTTACGACCACTTAGCCAGCGAACCTAGCCGGTGAACAGCGTACTGCTTTTAATAAATCGCCGTTTAATTTTTCATATTCACCAAACCTGTATCTGGACACCTACAAAGTGACTCAGGTCCCTAATGCATTCAGAGTTGTGCTTCTGATAATTGGAAGGTAAATAAAACTGGCTGTAGTACAACATAATGTATGTAGATGTAAGTTTTAATGGTTTTTCGATAAAATATCAAAAAAAAAACAAAAATGATTGAAACGTATTGGAACATATGTAGAAGGAGATATTTTTTCTAATCGTTCTCCATTAATTTTTACTGATTTCTTTTCTCTTTCTATATGTGCTACCATATTTACCATATTTTTCCCTCTAACGCTATTTGTAGTTATTTATTTATTTACTTACGTCGTACAGATACTACTGTACTTTAGACACTTTCAAAATAATATATTTTCTCAAAATTGATCAAGCGCTTGAAAAAATAACATTTTTTCTAGGCTCTCTACATTAGTTGATTGGTTAACTCTTCTTTTTAGATACAATGCCATCAAATTTTCTTTGTGAGATTTTTTGTTCCGATTCGGTAATCAATTTGATTGAAAGAATTTAAAAATAGTAGAAATCTTTCAGCAAGTGCTGTATTTCCCTGAAATTTTGGTACAGTCATGTTTGTTTGCCCTCCCTGACAACGCTTCTGTTTAAAATTGGCCTTAGAATTTGAGCAATTTGTTGCTACATTGCTTTAGGAATTCACTTTATGGCGTCATATAACGTTATGGTAATGCAGTTTTTTATTAATTTACTTTATGAATTGTCTGTTAAAACCTGTTTTTATTTCAACACTATTTGACAAAAATCTGTAAAATGTCCACGTGAATTTGCCAATAACCTCTACAAATCGAAAAAAATTCAATTAAATTACTTATAAACTGTGTTTAATGATATAAATCTCAGTTTCGAGCCTTCGGGCCGCTATTTTATTGACATTACCACCGAATGCGTTTTTTTGCACTTTCCACGTCGAAAATATTTCAAGAGAACCCGCCGCATTTCTAAAAAATAATGTTAGTGGCGTTACCTTTGCTGATGGGGGACGTCTAACGAAACCAACAACACAAATAACACAACAAACGTTCAAAAAATCAAGTGGTCTGTGCACTTTCGCACCAGGTGAGAGTATTTCACGCGAACGCCGGTGGTCGACTGGATGGTCTCGGCCGACCATGAAGGTGGGCCGCTTCTATGGGCACCCCGGCTGGACCAGACACCTCCACAACGGTCCCCGCTCTTCTTGCAGCAGCTTTTTCAGCGGTCAGCAAGTTGCTATCGCCTACAGGGCGACTCGGCAAAAATGCCAAGATGAGCTGGTATGGTCCATTTCACATTACTTTGTCTGCGACGTAGTAGGAAAATTGCGTTTTCTATAATAAAATCAAATGATGTGTCAACTATAGGGATGGACCACAATAACTTCTTTTGGTATTATGTCAAACTGACTGGCACTCTGTGTAAATAAATCCATTAAAACTTCTTTACGTCATAGTTAAATAACAAACCTCAATATGTTCAATATAAAGGTATCAAGTCAAGTATTTAGTTGGCATCTTCTGCTATACCTCAAGGGTCCAATTTAGGCCCTCTACGCTTTATTATATTTATAAATGATTTATGTGACGGTATGAAGTGTGTCAGGCTACAAGTTTGGTGACGATTTGCTGACGATCTCAAGATCTTAATAATTAAATTAAAATTTAAAATAAATGTTACCAAGTTTAATATAATTACATTTTAAACGCAAAATCTCTCTCTTGAATATTATTACACTTTTAATGACTAAACTTTCAAGAGCTAGGGAAATTAAATATTTAGTAATTTTTAACAGTAAGCTTAATTAATGTTATGGTTAATGCAGCCTTAAAACTTCTTGGTTTTATTATAACAAACTGTATACAATTAGAACTGTTGAAATTTTAAAAACTTTCTGCTTCTCCCTAGTGCAGACAAAGATCGGAAATACGGAGTTATTATTAGATGAAGTTCAGCGAAAGTTTATGAAATATGTTATTTCAAAAATTGAGTATCTTTATCCTGAACCTAGTTATCCCAACAATTTATTACTGTTGTTGAGATTAAATATGCAGTCATTGGAAAAACGAAGGATAATTGTAACAATGTTTCATGTTTCGTATATAAATTGGTAAATTAAACGATTGGCTGCCCTAAGTTACTGTCTAAGATTGGTTTTAAAATCCCAAGACTAGAATCGAGTCTAACGAATTATAATTTCCCTCCGACTTAAAAGACAAAACACTTTAAGTCGAGCTAATGTGCTTATAAAATCCCCTGTATACTTTATGATGTTCTTTTTACTCGTATAATTATTAATATGATTGTTTAATTTTAAGTATACCGGGTGTCCCAGAATATGTGGGCAATTTATCGGATTTATACAGACATTAAAATAACATGAAAAATTCCTATAAAAATTTTCCCTATAGGGCCCCCCTACGGGGATACAAACCCCTAAAGGACGTTCCTGAATATCATTTTTTTATCTTTTAAAGTACCTTGTGTAATTTAATTACGTTTTATTACGATGGACAACAGATAAACTCCTTAAAAATTGACCCATGAAAACAATTTGACTTATTTGGTTTGCCAGGGACGGACTGCTGTAGCACAATAATGTCAATTTTTTGACACCCTTTACGATAAAGGCACAAAAATAATATTTTTAGATAGCTTGAACCTTAAACTAAAAATAGGCACTTTTGGTTGATATCGATAAAATGAACTGTTTTCGAGAAAAAACTATTTTTGGTCAATACGATTTTTATTGCATAATTTTGTATGTCGGTTCAACATGAGCTCCTTCTAATATTATGTATTCCCTAGCGTATTGAAGATTGTTGGATCCTCTGTTGTCCATTGTATTAAAAAATAATTAAATTACACAACGTATTTTAGAAGTAAGTAGGTAAGTACGTAAGCAAGTAAATAATTAAGTAAACAAACAAACAAGCAAGCAAACAAGTAAACAAACGAACAAGCATGGAAACAAGCAAACAAATAAACAAAACAAATACACAAACCAACCAAGTAAACAAACAAATAAATAAAAACAATAAAACCTTCCCAAACATTGAAACAAAAGCTGGCCTGGGAACGCCACAGTACAAGATTTTCTCAGAATGTTCCACAGTGCTTGGCAATTAATTCCAGAACACCTTGTATAAAAATACTTTAATGACTATCGACTTTAATCTTTTCAAAATGTCATTCATTTATCCTTCGCTGTTTTGTCTTCATAGCAAGTATTTTATGAATATTCATGCTGTTATTGAACGACTCGGTTGATTAAATAATCGCTTTCTAAGATTGTCTTTTCAATTAACAGTTCTGAAAAATAAAGTTTACAACTTCTTTATATGTTATCTAACTTCAAAAGTCAATCAGTCGATAGGTTAAGGAGGAAATTTTATGTTTTTATGTAAGATGTCTTAAAAATACGTGTACAATGTAAAACTAGATTTTGATCAAAATCTATCGAATTAGACCAACCTAGGTACGTACAAAACCCTTTTAATATGGTACCAGGAAACAATATTCTTTTGTATAACATTAAAACTGTTTGAGCTATAGACTTTAATAGTAGTTTTAAAATTTTTACGGTCCGTGCTTATATTTCCCATGATTTTTCCGGTTGTTAACTTGCCATTGTTGTTCTCGGTCAAGGCTTTGTAGGGGTGAACTCGCAGTCAGAACGCCTAGGCTCGCCTTGATGTTCATTTCTGTTCTTCTTTCCAAACGTTGCTCTTCACTGTCGGCATCTACACTGGTGGAACATCCCGTATTTCAGTGCGTTTAAGACTAAATTTTTATTTATTTTTCACTCGAAATCCATAGCACATACCAAAATTTCACAAGAGGCAGAAAAACTTTAAACTTGAATTTTTTATTGTAACATAGTTGAACTTATAGAAGTTGTTATTTTTTACATAATATACGTTCTAGTAATTCAAACAAGGCTGAAATGAAACAAAAACTGATTTCCAAAATTTCGGTTTTTTTCAAATATTTCGAAAACTAATCATGTTAGCCTTGTTTTTTTTGGGAGCATAATGTTGGTCCCCTGATTGCGCAACTTTGTCCCATTTAAGCTACTTCGTATCTCTTACCGTTTCCGAGATCCCTGTAGTGAGAAGCGAATTTGAATAATTGATTATGTCAGCCATTTACATTTTATGTCGTTCTTCATATTTTCATATTTGAAAGGTTAACATTACTCCTTCCATATGTTTTTAGTTGTTTGTTTTTCACCCTCTTCTTAGTTTGATTCTATTTCTTTTTTTATGGGTGTTCTTTATATACAGTGCTTTCGAAAAGTAACGAATAAATTAATTATTTTTTAAATTGAGAAATTTTCGAAAAAATCCCCTGGCACGTCGATTTTGTTTTTAAAAAAGGCACTTTTTGACATACGACCCATATTTGTGGCGTCTCCGTTGTTTGAGATATGACGTCATCGACAATTTTTTTAAATAGCAACCCCCAATTTTGACCATGCCATTTGAAAGAGCGTGTCATTCTACATACACAGATCATGAAAAATTATGGTGTTACATAACAAAAATTTCAAGAAAATAATGTTTGAAGATTTTAAAATTTAATTTTCACAATACTGAAAATGATAATGATTATGTAAAAATCGACTAAATGGTGCACCTCCCCATTATGCAACACCTGTCCGTGCTTATTTAGATGAGCTGTTCCCGAATCGTTGGATAGGGAGAAGGGGGCCGATTGAGTGGCCAGCCAGATCGCCTGATTTGACACCCCTAGATTATTTCTTGTGGGGATACTTAAAAAGCAAAGTATACGTTACTAGACCGGTTAATTTAGAAGATTTAAAAGCAAGAATTCGTCACGAGATACATCGTATACCTCCTGAAGTTATTGATAATGTCCAAAAAGAATTTATTAATCGTCTTGGCTACTGTCAGGCAGCCAACGGTGCACAATTTGAACATTTAATTTAGTCGATTTTTACATAATCATTATCATTTTCAGTATTGTGAAAATTAAATTTTAAAATCTTCAAACATTATTTTCTTGAAATTTTTGTTATGTAACACCATAATTTTTCATGATCTGTGTATGTAGAATGACACGCTCTTTCAAATGGCATGGTCAAAATTGGGGGTTGCTATTTAAAAAAAATGCCGATGACGTCATATCTCGAACAACGATGACGTCACAAATATGGGTCGTATGTCAAAAAGTGCCTTTTTTAAAAACAAAATCGACGTGCCAGGGCATTTTTTCGAAAACTTCTCAATTTAAAAAATAATGAATTTATTCGTTACTTTTCGAAAGCACTGTATGTATACAGGAAGTGAGACTTTGTTTCTTTTTTTTCATTGATGGATGTAATTATTTCTTACATATGTACATGTATTTGCATAAATGTCATAACTGTAACATTGCTTCCTGATAGGGAATGGTGTCACATAAAACATGCTACGGTGTTACAAAGTCTGCAGATATAGTTAAATTTTATTTGATTTAATTAGCCCTATAACTATAAATATTGCATAACAAAAACTAAAATAGAGTTTAAAAATATTTCACTAAAAAAATAAAAATTTACACGGTTATATCAAATATAAAAACGGAATTCTAGAAGACCCTGTATTTCATTTTACTCGAAATAGTACCATATTGCATTCAAATAAATGTGGACGAAATGTTTGGAAGCACTGGATGCTACCAATTAAATGGAACATTTCAAAGGACAACCATTGTAAAGAAAAAAACTAGGCTTATAACACTGTTTCGTTTGTAACCGTACTGTGCTTTTACTTTTCCCGTCTCACTTTTTGCGCATAGGCAAATACTTTAGTGATTCCTCGTTTAAGCCTGAATCAAACATTTCATTTCCATCTTTGTATAATTGACATACTATTCGTTTCTAACTTTTTGCGTTCACTGTATTCCTAGTCGCCATAAAATCTTCCTTATAAAGACTCGTCTACACGTCACCCGCAGCCAGAAACCGCTTTTGTTTATTGTCTATGTGTGTGATTGCTGATTTCCATTTCGCTTTGATTTAAGTGAAAACAATAATTATCCATTACGTTCATATTTCATGTGCACAAGCGCGCCTAATATGGCAACGCCTGGCAACTGGCGCGTGTTTATAGACAGTAAACAAGGAAAATGTGCCTTTACGGCACTATAATTGAACAATGTTGTTTTTGACTTATGAAGTA